GGGAAGGGGGGGACGTGAGTTTAGTGATGAAAATGACATGAAATTTAATATATTAATTTTAAAAATGGGACTCACAAATAACACATGACAAATAATAAATAGTCTAACATATGATGTGTTGATATGTCACCGTAATTGATATACACGTATTGTTGGATGTATTTTTTAATACTCATTTTGTCAAGTTGAAGTGTTCAAATGAGAAATATATAAGTTTATGTACCGAATTGATAATTGAGCGCAAGTTTAAGTGGTCATTTTGCCAATATTAAAACGAGTGAAAGAATTCGGCGAAAAGGACCCGCAAAAAAAACAAAAAGGAGTGCGGGTAGCGCGTGAAGGAGTCTTAAAATTTCTGAGATACGAGGCCGAGTTGTTAGGCTAAATACGTGACGTCCACGACCTTTGAACTGTCGAAGAAATGGTCCGTGAAACTAGCGCGTCTTAAATAAAAGGGTTAAGGAACACTGGAACAACGTTGTGAGCCCCACGTGTTGCTATTTATTTTGTGGACCCACTGCTTCACCACCTCTCTATTGCCCACTCTTGACCCGCCCAACATTTAAAGAGCCCATGGACCAGTTGGGCTCTTCTATGTATCAGGCTTGACTTGATTTGAGGACCCAAACAATGTGTGTAAATAATCTATAAGTGTGAAATTTAAAAATAGCCAGATTTATAAGTAGTAATTAAAAAATAGTCACAATTTAAAAAATAATCGAAATTTAGTCACTTTTCATGTAAAGATAAATCTGAACGAAAACACTGTTCAAAGTCAGGAAAATATTCCAGCATAATATACTCGAGTTCGAATTTTTTACATGTGAACTTCCAGCATAATATACTGGACTCCAGTATATTATGCTGGAACTCTAGTATATTATGATGGAGCTCCATCATAATATAACGGAGTTGCATAATATACTATTTTAGCATAATATGCTGGAAGTTCATACACAGGTGCTCTAATCTCCAGTATATTATGCTGGAACTTTCCGTGTTGCAGAAAAATAATGGCTATTTTTTAATGACTTTGCAAACGCTGGCTATTTTTTAATTATCAATCCAAAAACTGGCTAGCCCGCGCTATTTTTACGATCTAAAAAGATCTCATGACTTTTGAAAATTTTGCCACACCTCTAATGGTGTTTTGATGGTGGTGAAAGTCAAAATAGTAGTAAAAATGAGGGCTTCAATAGACGAACTCGCACTAAGGGTGATTTAACTATAAGAGAAAGTTCTAATGATCTCGAGGTAACTCAAAAATACAGGTATTTGTGGGTTCAATGTGAAAATTGTTATGGATTAAATTATAAAAAAGATTTTAAATCAAGAACTAATAAATATAAAAATGTGGATATCATTTGATTAATGAGTCTGAGCAAATATAGGATATCAACCTTGATTTTTGGTGTTATTAATTAGAAATAATGTTGATTGCTTAACGTGCAAGGAGATAGCCTTGATTTTACGTCTCCATCTTCGGTTGGTGTGTTTGGATAGTGTCTTCTCCTAAGAGGAAATTCGTCTGCTTTATAGTGGTAGTTGATCTCTGTTTCTATATGATAAGATTTCTTACTTATTCCCTTAATCCAGTTGCTCAAAACTAAAAATATCTGATTGAGGATATGGTCCAAAGTCAGCAGAGAAGAAAAAATGCATAGAAAGGACATAAACAAAGTAGAGGTTGGATCTTCTTTGAAACGTGGAGATAGCTACACCTATATAATTAGCTGTCGGAAAATTGCCTCACGCATGTTCTAGTCAAGGCATCATATGCATTTAATTTATCGCACCAGACACTATTTATTCACACGGTGATCTAACTTCAATGTTCAGTGTTTCACAGTAATTTATATTTGGACTCTTCTCGTAAAATTTAATCTATTGACTGCTCGAACTGCAGCATTGGACCTATCACCAAGGCACATACTCCGAACATTGTTTGTCGAAAAATTATATTGTATGTGTTAAATATTTTTTTTATATGTATTATCTTAAATTTTGAATATGCTTAGCTAAATTTCAGTCTCCGCCATTCCGCCACGCCAATGGGGCTGTGTACGTCCCTAGCTGCCTGATCTGTTGTATGACATATTTGTTGCTCATGAGTCACAATGAGCCAACGGTAAGAAGGCAATACCAGTTTTCTACAATAAATTTCTGGTCCATGTATACGGATGTGACTTTTAAAATGTTTTACTAGCGCACCATTCCCTAAATACCATATTTTTAAAGTCTGATTTGAAATATACTATAGACTTAACTCACCTTGAAATTTAATTCATGTAGTGACAATTGTATCAGACCATATTAGGACACTACGGCCATACCTTAATCAATTGATATTCTAATACCCTCTTATGCTTATGGAGTGTGAATAACATAATATGGCAATCAAATATTGAGTAATTTATAAGTATAAAAGATGGATCTAGTTTTAATACCATTTTAAGAAGGAAAAATAAAACTTAGACTAATTCAACCTCAAAAATTAGCACCGGAGAAAATTTCTCCGATGAGCATATAAAAAGAATACTACACCCCATACATCAACCAATGTGTGAATGTGAAACTCTGCCATGTTCTCCAAT